AGAGAAGGAAAATTCAAGCAGCAAAGTGAAGAATCTAGACTCAGTTCCGAGGGCCGGGGCTGGGGGCTCGTCCAAATCCACGCGGTCCGGGCGGGCCTCCCGGACCCGGGTCACCAGCCCCAGTCCTCCATCCCTCTCTCGGGGGCTCAGCATCCCCCCACCCCCACACTCTCACTTTCCTTCTTTGGCTCCTGTTACTCGTGCTGCTACTTCCCCTTCCCCGCCTTTCCCTGGGAGGCTCCTGTCCCACAGGCTGGTATCTCCAGCCTGGGGCCCGCTCCAGCCCTAGAGGGCGATGACCCAGGCCGAGGAGCCACAGCCACAGGGGCCTTCACACCTGCCCACACATTTCCTGCAGGAGTGACTTTCACTGGGATTTGGTGTTGGGTCCCCTGGACCCGCAAGTCCTACTTTGTGTACCCAAGGGGAAATTAAAATACATTCCTCCTTGGGATTTTACTATTTCTCTTGGGCGTCTTTTTGTTTTGTTTTGTTTTTAAACCTCTCTGACTATGCTTTCTTCAAATAATAATGATACTTCATTTAATTAGCCTTTCTAATTCTGAAAGAAACAGGAAAAATAATAAAGAAGAAGAATGCTTGCTAAAAATACTGTGCAGAACCCCATCTTTGGAAAGTAAAGACTTCACTCCATACTTAACTGTGTTAGTGGGAGATGAGAGTTCAGTGTAGCTTATTTTCAGGCTGTCCTAAACAGACTATTGCAGCCTCCCCCGGGCTAGAAGTTTTAATTTGCCCGACATAAACTGCAGTGTTTGTTGGCATTCCCAGCCTGGCATACATAGTCCCTGCATTTCTCTCCTCTCCAGCCCTTTCCCAGCTCCCCCACTTTCTAATAAACAGGAGTTGTGAAAAGAAGGCAATAGAAGAGTGGAAAATGAGCAGGACCACAAAGAAAAAACAGCCTCACTTAATTTTAATCCTGAGGCTGTTGCTTCAACTGGATGCTGATTGGGTGGAGGAATGTTTAGTTCATTTGTGTGGTTTTTATGTCTGTTCTTGTTAGGGTTGAATCAGTGTTTCCGTGACAGGCTTAGTTCTCTGGGTGCTTAGAAGGAGCTTGTTAATTCTCAGATGAGTCTGGACAGATCAAGCCTGGAATCTGGAGTTCTTTGGGTTTTTTTTGTTTTTTTCGTTTTGTTTGTTTTGTTTGTTTTTTTTAGGGATTGATCTGGGTTGATATTGCAAACCTCTCTGCCCACTCACTCAGAACTGGAGTGGAGGGAGAGGGGGCAGCCTGAGCTGGGGTTTGCTTCCACGTGACTGAGAAAGAAAAAGCTTTCCTAAGGAGTGAGCTGTATGAACAAGATTGTAGGGAGTGTTGACTGTTACTGTTTTTAGGGAGAATGCACTTCTCAGAAACTTCAGACATTCCCATTTCTATACAAACAATAAATGTAGTTACAACAAATGTCTTAGACCAGGTTCTGAACAACCCATCAAAACAAGTTAAGGTATTGAACTATTTGGAAGTAAAGATTTTTTTAAAAATGAATTTCATTGGAAAGAAACTCCTTTATTTTAAAAAGGATGTAATTCATTTTTCTCTGCTGATTGAGTTTGGCTGTTCCCCATTAGTATAAATTAGTAAAGTTTTACTGTGGTCTCGAAATGTCATTGGTAAGGAAGTGTTGTGACTTCCATTCAAAAAGAAAGCCCTTCGAAGTTTTGAACTTGTTTGGACCTGGTGCTTAGAAAAACAATGCACTCAGATAAAAATCTTCAGCCTCTTCCTTTTCCTGAGAATTTTTAATAGTGTACTTAATGCCCCAGAAAATAACCTTATGCTGTTTGGAGAGAAATGGCCTTTCTGCGTTGTTCAGCTTTTGTATCCCCTTGTGGAATCTTGTTAAACAGGGAGGTTTGCCATCAGTCACGAAGGTTTGCTGTACAGTCCCAGATAGGCTGCTCTCGGTGCTGGGGATGTAGTGAAGGCTAGCAACGTGTCCCTGATTGAAGGAGCCCGTGGTCTGGATGGTGAGATGAAGGCTGCCTCCCCAGTTAGCCAATAGAAAGCAGCCAGCTATCATCTGGACAGGTCATGTGAGTTGGAAATACACAAGATGTGGGACCTGCAGAGTAGGAAGGAGAGCTGAGGTCATTAAGAAGTAAAATAACCTAAAGGAGTATGATGTGGCCTTTTAAAATCATGTTGTACAAAATACCAAATTGTGTAGACATGCTTAGGGTAGGGATGTTAAATTTTAAAAGCAAGCTATGAAATAGAAAGCACTGAATCTCACTCTTTGAAAATATACCCCTAAAATACTGGAATTATATGCATGGAAATGGATGGTGGGATTATAGGTACTTCTGATTTTCTTTGTGCTTGCCTGTGTTTCTCAACTTTTTAACAATAGTAATAGCTAACATTTATTGAGTATGAAGCACATACATATTTCATTTTAAAACTCTTTGAGGTAAGTACTACTATTCTCATGATTTAAGATTCA